GTTGTATAAAATAAATAAATCTAACCAACTGTTCACTCACAAATAAACCCATACGCACCTTCTATTGGGGGGGGGGGGGGAAAGAGCAACAAAATCACGGGATACGGCACCACAGATAAAATTCACACAGTTTCAACTTGTATTGAATAAGACTAGAAGACGCACACAATTTTTCATTTACGTATTTTCTAAACGTCTTACTTATTAGTTTATATATCTCAAGTAGTATGTTCCGTTATTATATCAGAATCATAAATGTGCTGAAGGTGTCAACTGTTGTTTTATTCTGAAGTGGAAACACTTCATAAAGCATGACCAGCCCAATGACATCTGATGAACGACTTTTAACGAAATCAAAATTGCGACTGCGTATAATACCCCCTTTGTAAAGTGAAATAATTGCTACTCACTAAGTATCAGCTCAATCAAATCTAAAGCCATCTCTAATCACAAAAGTAGGATCATAAGTAGGATACACAGTTTGAAATCATTTCTCTGGCTGGGAACAAAAGTAAGGTACACCACAAAGTTATGAGTGAGAGACCGAATCTAGTTAAATATTACGGTGAAACGGATGCTTCTGTAAAGTTCTGTTACCACAAAAGCAATATAATATAATAGCGAGACTGCCCTTCTGTTCAGATCCCTGTGAATAAGCACTGTAGATCCATTCATATGGTCGATTAAATAGGACAGCCGAATTAGTACTGCATAAGACTTGAATAGTTTTAAACGTAATTGAAAGTTGTAACATGGAGTTTTCACAATTCAGCCGAATAAAACAGTCACAGCTTTCACACATTCTGCAAACATGACGATTAAAACAGACAACCGTAATCCCACGAATTCTCCTGTCAGACTTCACTCTTAGTAAAGAAAACGGACTGAGGGTGTTTGAGCAGAAATCTCTGAAGAGAATACTTCGATCTATGATACAGGAAACAACACATGCATAGAAAAAATGCATAATAAGAAACTTAAAAAGCTGTACTTTTCCATAAATAATATAAAAATTTGTGGGGAGACATGTAACACATATATGACCGGTAAGAAATAGATACAAAACTTTATTCGCAAAACCTGGACACAGACTTGACTGGACTCAACTGGCTTACGATAAGTTTCACGATATGTACATGAAGTGAATGTGAGACTTAAGGTACTCATGGCCACGAATATTAAAATGATTTCTGGCTAAAGATGCGTTTTATCTTACCAGTTCTACTACGTTTTTGTGTACAAAGCACCACTGAACCAAGAAATTATAACTTTTTATTTTTACTGTCTGGAAGTGTTAGCCGGACTAACACGGCCAACATAAACGCTCAGCCCCTGATCATACAGGATTGCTGAAATGAAATCCTGGCGTTCAATATTTGTTAATGCTCACAGGAGATAAACTACAAAGATCAGATACGAATTAGAAATATAGAATTACAGAGCGGGGCATCTGTTTAATCTGTGGAGTAGGTAGAAGACGCTTGTTTAAAAATGTTGCCTTTGAGTGATTTACAAGTGACCTCTGAATAGCATTACAGGCAAAGGGTTTTGAATTCTACTCCCACACAAACTGCATACAAACGATATAAAAATGATATCATGTAGAAATGTATAATTAAAATTGCAGGAATTTGAGATCAGAGTACTGAGGGAATATAAAGACAAAAGAGACGGAATGGAGTCTGGATAGAATTGCTTAATGAGGTGGTTCATATTTCGTTCACTTCACAAAAAGTATTAGGATGATAAAATCAGAGCATTACATTGGTAGAATGCCGGGCATATGAGAAATAACAAATGCTTATAAAGTTTTAGTCACAAAACCTGATAGAAAGAGACCAGTTGAGAGGCTTAGGCACAGATGTGAGGATAATATTAAAATAGGCATTTTAAAAATAGGCTTTATTGCGTGAATTGGATCATGGAACTTTCTGGTGTCATAATAGGACAAGAATTTCGTCATCAGCTGAGTGATTATATGTGCCTCACAGAAGACACCATTCCGTTGAGTTTGTTTTACACGAGTGTACGCTAACAGGTTGATTCACAGATTTCACACTTTGAAAACGGAGTTTTGGATCCGACAGCTCTATATGAGATTTGATGTTTGTTTATTGGTCAATTGAAAATGTTGTAGTAAGTGTTATATAGAACAGAACTAAATCATAATGTGAACAGAACGTGGAAGGAAAAGGTCACAGATTATTTTACGATACGATTCCAGCATTTGTCTGAAGAGCGGACGAAAGTAATAACCACCGTCAAAACAGAAGTTCTCGACGCCGAATATCGAAGCTGCGATCTCATAGATATGAAGCAGGAAGGATAAGCTCTTCACCATGTCCTTAGACATTCGACACAACAAACGTTAGAAGGCTGGATTAATGTAATTTCACTCCTTTATTTAGCAGAATTCTTAATCAAAAAAAAAATTCGTGTCAACGTTGAAATATTTATTGTCAGACGACACAGTTCAATTGGTCTACATAAACCTATAATCAGGTGGAATAAAATTAGTTGTAAGTGCCTAGAAGACTAATGCAGTTTTATGGCATTTTAGTTATTATCTCATAAACACATCCGAGGTGTTTAGTCTTTTATGTTACAACTGTTGCGTCGTTTATAAAGCACTTGCTTCTTCCTGAAATCAACGCATAACCTCAGTGGTGCTACAAATAGCCAGCCAGTTAAGGAACAAAGAAGTTATCTAACTAACCGACTAGCTACGTAACTAATTATGTAAATTAAACAATTTATTATATGAAGATGGTTGTCTTCTGGGCTGTTGCGCCGTGTAGTCTGGTAGAAGTTTGCCGACGTTTCAGAGGTTCTTGCTGCCTCCATCATCTCCCTGATGACAACAACCCAGAAGACGGCCATCCTCAAACTAAACGACACGAAGACCTTAAATCCTACAATTTATTATATAGTAGGATTTGAAGTTTACACGGCGGTGAGTCCGAAGACGATCATCGCCCTGTCGGTGGAGGCAGCAAGGACATCTGAGAGGTCAATAATTTCTACCACACTACGCGACGCTGCAACCAAGAAGACAGCCATCCACAATTGATTATATAACTACCTAACCAATGTTATAACTAACAAACTATATATGGTTGAGTAGGGAATTAACTAATTGAGAATCCAACCAGCGAACTAATAACCCAACTAGCTATCTAACCAACCACATAGAAAACTAAATAACGAATTATCCAATCAACCAACCAACTAACAACGTGACAAACTACCTATCTACCTAAGTGATATTCGAGATCCTTACAGTAACGAGTATGAATGTGACTCTTCTGGGATGTTGTAGCTTGTAATACGGTAGATACTAACCGACGTTTCAGAAGCGATTATTGCCCTCATCATTAGAGCGATTCATCACCTTTTGAGGGAGACAGTAAGCTGATAATAAATGTCGGTCAGTACCTAACATACCACACGGTTCTATATCTCAGAAGACAGCCATCTTCATACCTACTTATTTGCCTACCTAGCTGCCAACGAATAAATATGAAAGTACTGCACATACGGCGCGTCATACCGCGAGACCCAGGGAATCAACAGGAGGCAGCCATCAGAACGCAGGCAAACACGAACCGCTTCCTTCACGGTGCTCTGAAGACAGGGCAATTTCCTGAAGCTGATAAGCAACAGGTGGGACAACGGAAATGACAGAACTATCCTCCTTCTCTCATAAATCTAACATAATACGACAGAATACTGAGACTGAATCTGTGTATTAAATAGTTATATATTGCGATACTGAAGATAGATTTACAGGTGCTATTGTAATGCTTAAGAGCCTAAATATTTTTAAACTCACAATATTTAGTTTCGCCTATCACATTGACAGCGCGGGCTAAGGCGTTGGTCTCGACTGTTCTAAATCTGAAATCGTGTGTTTGAATCGCTCTTGAAGCATCGAGTTTTTTCTCTTCTTTCTGGGAAGTGTGTGTAGAGGCCTTCGGACAGGCCGCTACCCTAGCCAAATGTCAAAGAACAATTTTTAAAAAATGAATCATATAAATTCTCCAGAAAAGCTAACGCTCAGGGTGGAATACAAAGCTTATATACACACACACTTTTAGTTCCATTTTTGTCTTTGTGTTGCCTACATAGAAACGAGCTTTCATCTTTTTATTAATCATCTCACAGTGGCTGTGGAGTTCAAGACGTGGGTGTTGATCTCTCCAAGAATGGGATCATATACATAATATTTTGATCATTATCGTTTTACCTTTTTTAAACACTGCGTTTTGGAAACTGAATCAGGTGGCAGAAAATAAAAATTCCTACCCTTTTGGAACCCTTAGAAAGAGCAAACAATACCTCTTCCCTTAATGCACGAAACCAAGTTAAACACGTACAAAACAAGAAAAATTGCTGTCATGCATAATTTAATTTTTATGTATGTAGACAGACGACAGGGACAATATTTTTTAGCAGAATGGTAGTAAGCATGTGAATTGTTCTTTTGGAATTTTTACGTCATCTAAATTATATAATTATAAAACTACAGCGTTCCGAAAGCTGAAGGCTGCTTACTTCTTCAAATGAACATGGAGGACTCACGCTGTCTCAACGAGGGGACCCAACAGACAAGAGTCCTTATGTCCTCTTCCCTCTTTTTACCTGAAGACAGAAGCAGAATCCAACTTCCGAAACGTTGTAATTTTATAAGTTTATAATTCAGACGATGGACAAAGCCCAAAAGAACAATTTTACATATTATAACACAGCAATGTGACAAAACTTCAGACCAAATTTAACCCGAACATAATTTTTGAACGAAATAAATGTTGATTTCTTACTTTCGTTTCCGAATACCTGAATGTTATCACACAGCGAAGGATTTATTAGCTGTGGGTAATGAAGAATGGTAGGCAGCCTGCGTCATTCCCTCCCTTCGTAAGGAGATGAGTGACAGCGTTCCATTGCGCCTGCACGAATAGTCCCGCCGCGCGCGATACGCAGCGTCACCGTGGGCGCCGAGACGTCCATATAAGAGTGACGGCATCCACAAGAACTGGTCCACAGAGATACAGACCGACGCTTGAAGCCCGGACCCCGCAACTTGTCTGCTCTCAAGTACCAGCGCACACAGAAGGTACGTCACCAATTTCAAAAGTCACCCCCCCCCCCCCCACA